ATTGTCAGCAGGTTCATGATCATCGTCAGCAGCAGCAACATCATGACCAACATCATCATCATCATCATCATCATCATCAACAGCATCATGATCATGATCATGATCATGATCATGATCATCATCATCTTCATCATCATCATCATGATCATCATCGTAGCCGTCACAATCATCGTAATCGTCATAATCGTCATCATCGTTATCATCATCGCCATCATCATTATCTCCATCATCATCACCATCACCACCACTATCACCATCATCATCATCATCATCACGATATTTAGCATCGTCATCATGATCATCATCATGATCATCCTCATAGGCAGCATCATCATCATCATCATCATCATCATCGTCGTCATCATCATCATCACCATCACCATCACCATCATCATCACCACCACCATCATCATCTTACTCGTCATGATCATCATCATCATCATCATCATCATCATCCCTCCTGGCCCATCTCGACCTCATCCCTCCTCCACCCTCTATCATCCCTTCTCTACCCTGCTTCCTCCTCATCGTATTATACCTTTTCCCGACCCTCTTTTGACCTTCTGCTCTTCGTAGTTTTGATGTTGTTCATCCATATCCACATCCTCGTATTCCCTCTTCCATATTCCTTCCCCGCGTCATCCTCCATCCCACGCTCTCCTCCGCATCCCAGCCCATCACTCTATTACCATTTTGTCGCATTGGCGTCCAAGGCCATCACTTTGCCCGGGGCCGACCAGGGCATCAGTGCCACCATCTTGCTGCACTCGTCGAGCTCCACCTGTTGGAATGGGCCTCGGCCCCCAGGGACGAAGAAAGCAGCAAAATGGCGTCTGCTTCTGGAGGGGGTCCCAGCAGAACGGTGCGGTGACAGACCGTGCGGCGACCTCTTAACCCCAATGACCTCACTGCACGGCCCGTCACCGCACGGATATGGGATCCTGTCGCCTGAGGCATCCCCGGAGAACGACCCCGAATCTCCACCGACTCCTCACACGGTGTGGCCACCGCACAACCCTGAGATCCGACGCAGCGAATAAGTTGCAACATCGTAAAAATCGCGCCCAGAACCCTGGACACCATCCTCCTGCGCCATTCTTCGAGGTGGACCGATCTGTGAGGTCCCGAGGACAAGCGAAAACGCCTGGCTCGACAAGAATGGAGACGCCAGGATCTCAGGATCGTTGGGGGGCCCGAACTTACGGAGAGGGGCGCGGGCGCAAGGAGCACCTCCCGGAAGAACTCTCGGCCCCGCGCCGCGCACCACCCCTCGGAGCAGCCGGTCCAAATAACCAGGGCGCTCTCCTCCGTCCGGGTGCTGCCGCAGGGCGCCCCCCTGGCCCAAGGTGCCCCCCAGGATCCCCACAGGGGTCCGGGACCAGGGTTTTCCCAAACCAAACGGGTCTTCCCAAACCAAACAAAACCAAACGGGTCTTCCCAAACCGACCGGGTCTTCCCAAACCAAGCCCTGGGTCTTCCCAAACCAAGACTTGGGTCACCCAAACCAAACTTTGGTTTGGGAAGACCCGTTTGGTTTGGGAAAGACGCCCCTCCCCACAGGGGTCCCCACGGCCTCCAGAGCAGTCCTCATTCGGGCGGGTGGCAATGGGGGGCGAGGCCCAGAAAGGGGGGTGAAAACTTGCCGTCGCTCGGACGTCGATTTCCCGTGCATTTTTCGGTTTCGTGCGTGCTTTTTTTCTGTTCGATGGTCCAGGGTGGTCCTCGATGGTCCTCGCCGAGAAAAAAATGCACGCGTCCGAGCGATGCCAGGAAACTAAGGGCCCAGAAGGGGCCCCCCTTGCGGGCCCCTGCTGGCTCCGAGAGGGTCCCTACAGCGCCCCTTTAGGGCCCTTTGTCTTGAGCTTCACCCCACACCTCTTTGGGCTACAGTCAAGAACCCTGATAAGGACGCGCGGTAAGGACGCAAGACCCTTGAAAGCCGAAGTTGGGATTTTTGGGGCGGCGGACGACGAAAACCTCACGGACGCAAGAGCAAGGAAGAGCACGGACGCAAGGGTACCCTGAGCAAAGTCGCGCGTCCATATCAGGGTCTTTGACTGTGCCCTCCACTGCCACCTGCCCGACTCGCGAGGCCGTGGGCGCCTCCGTGCGAGCTGCGGGGGGGGGGGGCACCCGGGGCCAGGGGCGGCTTTGGCAGCCCCGGGCCCGTGGTGGCCGCGGCCCGGCAGTGGATGCTCGGCCGTGCGGCGCGCCAGGCCCAAACGGCCAAGCGCTGCGCTCGGCGAGCGACCGCACGGCGGGCGGCGCCTCACTCTCCGCCTCCGCGCTCGATCCCCGCGCCTGCGCGGGAGGCGCTGGCATGCACCACCGCCTCGCCTGGCCAGGGCTCGTGTCCACGGTGAGACGAGGCCAGAACGAAGATGACACCGGGTGGGGCACACGAGAATCTCTGAGATCCGGCGGCTCTGCAGCATGTCTCGGGCGCCGCGGCCATCTCAGAGCTTTCCGGAACGCTCTGAGCGTTCCGGAACGCTCCGGAACGGAGTTATCCTCGTCCTGGCCCCGTCAGATCCCCGGACTCGCGGCCTGGGCCCCTCAGCTGCGCCCCGCCCCCATGGATGCAGGCCGGCCCTGCGGGGTTGCCCCGCGATGAACGTATCCATGGGATCGATCGCGTGTGCATCTGATCCCGCCTCGGCGCCCAGACCGCGAGGGCATGGGCATGGACATGCTCGCCCAGCATTGGCCCTGGCTAGGGATGGCGGTGGTGCACGACTGCCTCCTGCCAGGGCGCCTGCTGCGGCCTTCGGGAGCGGGCCCCGCGCCGCGTGCAGCTCCTTCACCTGCTCCAGGTCCTTCATGATCTGGTCCGCCGTGGACGTCCAGCCCTGCTTCTTGCACGCCGCGCTCAGGTAGATGTGCGTGTTGTCGCACGGGGGCAGCTTCGCCTGAAGCATGCCCTTGTACAGCTCGAGGGCATATTCGAGGCGCTGGAGCTTGATGCACGAGTTGATCGCGTGGTGGTAGGCGAAACGGTCAGGCTCCATGCGTTGCTCCTGCATCGCATTGAAGACGGCCACTGCCTCTTTCGGGCGATTGCTCGAGTAATACACCTTGATCATTATGCCGAAGGTTTTACCATTAGGGGCCAGCCCAGCGGAAGACATCTCCAGGAACATCTGCTGGGCCTGGTCGAGCATGCCGAGCTGAGAAAGAGCGCACAACACCGCATTATACGCCACACGGTCGAGCTTGATCCCTAACTCCAGCATCTCATTATACAACTTCAGCGTGAACTCTGGACCAGTCCTTTCGTTGGCGGCCATGATGCAACGGTACGCCGTCGAGCTAAGCATGACGCCGCTTTCTTTCATCTGCACGAAGTAGGCCAGGACATGTTCTGGAAGCTTGCTCCGGAACGCCACGATCAAGCGGTTCTGGGCAAGAGTAGATGGCGAGAGCCCGTGAGCTCGGATCACATCGAGAAGCCGCAGCCCCTCCTCCCGCATGCGCTTGTCGTCGAGGCTCTCGGCGACGAGCTTGAAGAACTTGCTGGCGGAGCTCTTGCAGAGCAGATGCACATCGGGGACGGCCCCGCCCTCCAGCATCTGGTCGAACAGCCTGACGGCCGTGCCCGCGCTGTTGCACCTGACGCAGGCTCTCATCGCCGCCGTGACGTGCGAGGCCCTCGTCGAAGAAGAAAAGGCCACACAGACAGAAACCCTCGGAGGTCCGCGCGGACTTCTTGGATCGGCGCTGAGCCACCCTGCGCACCTGCGCCAGGGGCGGCGGGCGGAGGCGCCGACCGGGGGGCCCCGAGAACTCCGCGCGGCCCTCGGAGAACAGATTCCCCAGACAAAACTGGGATTGGACGGGTCCGATTTCGCCACGCTGCCGCGCGCTGCCGCTTCGTGCGCCGGGTGGGTCCCGCCAGACTTCGCCGCGCGCGCCGAGTGGTTTCGGCGAGGTTCCGCCCCGTTGCCGCCCGTTGCCGCCCCGTTGCCTCCTCCATCTTGCACCACGTGCACTGCACCACCCGGCTCACGCCGCACAGCTTGCACCACACATGGCTTACACATCCACAGCGCAACAACTTCCTGCTTGGTGCCCACGCTGGCGCTGGCTAGAGCATGAGAGGAGGAGGAGGAGGAGGAGGAGGAGGAGGAGGAGGAGGAGGCATGTTCGTGCTTCTTGTTCTTCCTCGACTGAGGGGCAACGGTAGGGGGAGACCAGCTCGGGGGGGAAACATCGCGCTGGCATCAGCGAAACATCGCCGAGAGATCGGCGACATGTCCCCCATAGCAAAACAACAGGTTCCTGGGTGGGATGGGCTGTCGGGTCCGTCTGCAATGAGTGGGCGATTGGGATCGATGCATCCCCCCCTGAGCCTACTTCCTCCCCGAACGTTGCCTCCGATCGACCTTGGCACCACTCCCTCCCTCTGCACGCGGTCGAGGATGCGCATGTCCGACGCCCGCTGGTCCTCTTGGCCCTTGGCATGGGGCCAACAGGTCCTGAGGGAAACGGGTCCTGGATCCCGGGGCCTTCCCCTAGGTCGAGATCTTCCTCTTGAGCCGTTTCCTGACACCCCTGGGGCCCGTGGAGGGCCCCGAGGAGGCGAAACATCTCAGGACACGCTTCCCTCGGGACCCGCTTCCCCCGGTGGCGGTGGGGGGCTCGCCGCGCTGCCTTCTGCGCCTGGGGCGCCGGGGCCGCAGCGGCGCCGGCTACGGCGGCGCCGAGGCAGAGGCGGGGCGCACTGCGGCCCGCGGCCCGGGGGGGGGAGGGGAGGGGGGAGCGCCTCTCTCCAGACCCAGACCTCGGGCGCCTTCGGCTCGATTTTCCCGAGGCGCCCGAGGTCTGGGTCTGGCGAGAGGCGCTCCCCCCCTCACCCCCCCCCAGCGGGCCGCGGTGCGCCCCGCCTCTGCCTCGGCGCCGCCGTAGCCGGCGCCGCTGCGGCCCCGGCGCCCCAGGCGCAGAAGGCAGCGCGGCGAGCCCCCCACCGCCACGGGGGGAAGCGTCGTCGCGAGGCCTGGGCTCCTCCCGTGGCGGTCCTCCTCCTCGGCGGGGCCCTCCCCGCTCGGCGCCGGGGGCTCCGCGGCGCGGGCCCCCGGCCTGGCGGGGCGCCCTCCGCCCAGGGCCGCGCCCTCGGCAGGGGCCGGCGCCCTCGCGCTCTGCTCGGCTGCACGCAGGGGCGGCCCATCACCAGCTTGCCGTCGTTCGGACGTCCATTTCCCGTGCATGTTTCGGTTTCCAGGATGGTCCAGGATGGTTCTCGCCGAGAAAAAATTCACACGTCCGAGCGATGCCAGGCCGGGGGCCGCGGCAGGCTCGTGGCGTGACGGCCCCGGCGGCTGGTTCCCGACACCGCGGGGATGGTCCTCCTCCGTTTGAGACGTTGCGCAAGACATGGATCGGATATCGCTGTGACATTATGTCCTCCTCCTGCTCCTCCTCCTCCTCCTGCTCCTCCTCCTCCTCCTTCTCCTCCTCCTCCTCCTCCTCTCCGATTCTTCATAGATCACTCCTCCCTGTCACACCCCGAGGCCGGTCGAAAGTGCGGACTGGGCGAGACTTCCTCTCCACTGATGACCCTGATGCTGAAAAGTCGGCAACATCTTCACAGATGGAGGGCGGGTCGTTGTCTAAATGTGGCTCTCGCCTGCACGTCGCGCACATTCGTTGTTTATTTTGGTATTTGTGTTTTTGTTAAAAGTGGAGAAGCTCGACGGAGTGAATGCGGGTGGTTTTCAAAATGTGGTTTTCGCCGTAGCGCCGCGCAAATTCGTCTCAAACATTTCAAGAGCTTCTCACGGATTGAGGGCGGGTGGTTTTCAAAATGTGGCTCTCGCCTGATCGGCGCGCACAATCGTTCAAAACATTTGCAAGAATTTTGAGGATTGACGGCGGGTCGTTTTCAAAATGTCGGGTCGTTTTCAAAATGTGGCTCTCTCTTTAGTGCCCGCGCACATTCGTTCTAAACATGTGCAAGGGTATCACGGCTTCTCATGGTTATCGCACCAGAAATGCCATTCTGGAACGATTCTGGGTTGTCCGGGCGTAAAAGATATGGATATGTTGAGTCGCGGTGTTGAAGTCCCAGGAATGGCGTTCTGGCACGATTCCCGGTCGTCGAGACGTAACAAGCAGGTTAACTCGTGGCGTTGAATTCCTCCGAATGCTGATCTGGCACGCTTCAAGATGTTCACACGGTTGTCCCCCAACGGGGCAATTCTCCGAGTGGAAATGACCTCTTGTAGGGGCCTGTGAAGAGGGATCTTGGAGGGAGGGTGTATTTCAATATCGTTGATGAGTCTTGGGTTTACACTGGTCCTCCTCCTCCTCCTACTCCTCCTCCTCCTCCTCCTCCTCCATTGCTTCTCCTGATAGATAACTTCTCCCTGTCGCACCCCGAGGCCAGATTTTAGGACGGGCCGGGCGTTTCGCCTGAGACTTCCTCACGGCTTATGGCTCTGAAACAAAAAATGACAACAGCTTCACAGATGGAGGGCGGGTGGTTTTCAAAATGTGACTATCGCCTCAGCACCGCGCGCATTCGTCTTGAACATTTGCAAGAGCTTCACAGATTGAGGGCGAGTCGTTTTCAGAATGTGGCTCTCGCGTGAGCGGCGCGCGCACTCGTCTGAACAAATACAAGAGTTTCACGGATTGAGGGCGAGTCTTTTTCAAAATGTGGCTATCGTCTTATCGACGCGCACACTCGTCTTAGAAAAACTACAAGGGTTTCATGGATTGAGGGCGGCTCGTTTTCAAAATGCGGTTCTCGCTTTAACGCCGCACACATTCGCCTTAATCATTCGCAAGAGTTTCACGGGTTCCCGTGATCAACGTACCAGAAATTGTGTTTGGAAGGGTTCAGGCTTATGGGGGTGCACAAATTATGCTGATTCGCTATGTTTAAGTCCCAGGAATGGCATTCTGGCACGGTCCAAGGTCTTCAAGACGCAACATTCAGGTTGATCCGTGGCGCTGGAATCCCGAGAACAATGTTTTAGCATGCTTCAGGGTCTTCAACCAGTTGTCTTCCAACGAGGCAGTTCCTTCAGGAAATACGAACCGTTGTAGGGGCCTATGAAGAGGGAGTTTGGAGGGAGGGTTTATTCCAATCGTTGATGCCTCTTGGGTTTACACTGGTCCTCCTCCTCCTCCTCCTCCTCCTCCTCCTCCTCCTCCTCCTCCTCCCCCTCCTCATCCGCCTTCCTCCTCCTCCTCCCGATCCTCCTCTTCCTGCTCCTTCTCCTCCTCCTTATCATACTCCTCCTCCTCCTCCTCCTTTTCCTCCTCCTTCTCCTCCTCCTCGGCATGCTCTGCCTCCTCCTCCTCCTCCTCGTCCTCCTCCTCCTCCTTGGCACGGCAGGTTCGTGTCGTGGCGACCCAGGCGCTGGTTCTTGACACCGCGGGAGTCGTTCAGCCTTGAACGATCGGCCGTTTCCGAGACGTCAAATCGTTCAACATCGACCGATTCTGGGTCGCTGGTGGCGTTCAACGTTGAAAGTCGGCGGCGGGGTCGTCGCCTGT